CCGAAGAAAGGTTAGCCGGGCAAACGCCATGCTGCTTCTCGGAGACGGCGCACGCGCTTGAACAAAAAAGCGCATCAGTCTTTGGAACCAGTGATAATGAACATGACATGTCCTCTCTGCTGTTGGGGATACTTGCTGGGATTATTCATTCCTTATAAAATACTAATACGCACATTTTGGACGTAGCCCATGTGTTAACACCAGTTTTGATTCATGCATGACGGGAAGGGAGCTTTTTTCAGATTGCCAAGAAACAAGAACTCTCTTTCTAGGGTCATGCAGGGAAAGTCCGCATTGTGAGAACTTCCCAGTCTGGGGAACCAATGACTCAGGCGCATTGGGATGTTGAGTTTCGGAACTGAGGGATACTTGGATTTCAGCATTCGTATTGTGTTACTTGGACGTTCCAGACCCTCACTTACATGTCTGCAAAATGCTGAATTTGCAAAAATCTGGAACAATTCTAAGTATCATGATTTTTGGTTGAATATGCCGTCTTCCCCAAAAGCCAGACTCCTGCTTCGGACCCTCATACGTCGAGACTCTGTTGCTCTAGGGAGGGAGGAGAGCATTGGAGTTAGAAATATGTCGAGCCTGATGAGCCAAGATTTGCATTGTGTAAGAATGCTGAGTTTTCTTCGATTCCCAAGAAAAGGATGTGAGTGGCCATAGGCCATAGATGCCCAGCAGAAGCTCCGCGAGCTTCCATGTGCTCGTGGCATCTTTCTTCATGCCTGCCCCTTGCAAGCTGGTGCCACCACAGCATGGGCTCTTTTTTTCTCGGGATAGCGCACGTGTAAGAACTTGGTAGCTCTGTGTAGCTTTCAGCTATAAACCTGAGCGACTAATCTTGAAAAGCTGCTTATCACACGCAAACAAACATGGACCAAAACTGCTGCTTGGAAGTTTTAAACCTTCCCTGCATGGGAAGATCCAAGCTAATCCAGCAAGTGCTCCGTAGGTGACAGGACGTCCCAAATCTAAACCCTTCATCCCTGCAACCCCCAAATAAGGTTCTGTACCACGGTGCACTGATTTCGAATCGTCGCTCCGGCAGAAGTGACAACCGCAGCGCTTGCCAGGACCCCTGCCGCAATGCCATTAGGTCTGACCCCGAAAGTGACCAAAACATACTGCTGAAAGGACCTCAAGCTACCCTAAGCGCTCTTAAAATTGTTCAAAATTCGGGCTTCCAGGGAGGTCTCCCACAGAGGAAGCTGGCCTGCAGGCGGGTGGAGCTTGATTGGGTTGTCTTCTTCGACCACTGCGGGGCAAACACTGAGAGTCTGCACAGCCTTAACGCATCTCCGGTGCCTCGGCATGCTGGGCAATCTCACATAACACCCGGCGCACTACCGACCGTCAGCGCGGCTCTCAGCCATCAGTCTGTTGACAGGTTAGCTGCAAGGGCCTTTTTGCCACTGACAGGCGCATTGCTGCTTCTCGCGGACTGCAATCTGGCCCCAGTGTCGCAGGCGCTTGTAGGTCTTGAGGACGTAGCTCTTTTCTCTGCGCCGGGAGACGTGGCTGACGTAGCGACCCTTCGCACGGAGCTGCGTCGCAAAGCACAGCTGCCGGTTGGCAAACTGCGTGCTGGGAAACCCCAAGATGTTTTGCAATGCTTCTCTTCATTGTTGACGATATTGGCTTTCGACCGTTGCTTGTGGGGATTGCGAGTTGCTCACTTGCGGTTGGTGCCAGTGCCGCTAAGATCCAGTACATTGCCGAAGTGGCACTAGAAGGCTCCTCTTTGGAACAAGCAAGTCTTTCAGGACTGCATCTTGTAACCGCATAAAAAAAAGGCGAGCTGGCGGAGTTTATCAGTTGCACTTTAGAAAATATGACAACCACAAGTCCAGGTATCTTGGGTGTACACACGGTCCCCGCCCAAGGCAGCCTGGGTAATCCTACCTGAGGACATCTGCGAGTCATACTTTTGATCCCTTTGCCACCATCTGCACGCTTGGGGCGGCAGATCCACCAATCCTCTGGAATGGCACTCTACACACTGCATATCACTGCATCCTGGAGCCCTGGCCCAAGTCCTCATGCTGAACAATGCTACAAGCCAAACCACAAGGCTCGAAACAACTTCAAGAAAGCCCTCCTCCAGGACCAGTAACGTTTGGCCAGCTTGTGAGAACTGCCTCCGAAACCCGGGGTCCCGCTGTCAGATTTCAAAAATCCTAAAGCTGTAGAACCCATACTCTCAAACCTTGAACTCTGAAACGAAACACATCCAAACCCGAAGCCCACAAACATACCTGAATCTTTTTGGCGTCACAACGCGGGCCTGTCACGGGAAGTGCACCTGAGCTTTGGTGCGGGCAATCCCTTAGGTTCGCTCCCAACGAGCAAAATTTGTTGATGCGACATGTATCTTGGGAAACATGCCCAGTCAATGCCGTAGTCTGCAAGCAGATTATCAAACTTGAAGGCTGCAGGCTGTCCTTCAACATGTGCGATGCGCAGAACGTGATCATGCAGTCCAGTCCATTGCTTCTAGTAGCCGGAAGAACATACCATTTCCTTTCATAGTGACTCACTGTACAGACCTTGAAGGGCTCGCACCTTGTCTATCAAGCCTCATTGCCTCCTGCGAAAGCCCACGCAATCCTCCTAAACCCTGCGCAATATTGCTGGACACGGCACAGGCAGCCTTGATGTTAAAGGTAGGGCCTCTGGGCAACTTCTGTAGATGGCCGGCATAAGCTTTCTATAGAATCTTTACAAGGGCTGTACCCAGACTGAGGAATGGGATTCAGGTCTTTCGGTCCTGATCTGAAGTTCCTCATTCAATTAGATTTCTCAGCACTCCCCCGTGCAAAGATTGCTAGTTGCGTTCCCCAGCAAAAGTGCGACTGCTGTCCCAGCTAGCGAATTGGCAGTCTGTCATGCTAAACTGCCCAGCGGTAATGTTGATTTGCAGGTAGGTCATGAGTACCTCACAGGTCGTGAATCGAAAGCGCTGCAATTCAAGCATCTGTGCAGCAAGGGTGCTGCAGGCAAGGTTCCTTGGTTGCATCATGAGGCTTGCCAAACGTGGATCGCTTGCATGAGGTACCAGAGTTCCCCAAAAGCTTCTTCAGAAAGACAAGTCCAGCAAATGGTCCTCAAAGCTCGAAGTAGTTGGACACCCAACTCCGCTGCATCTGGACAAGAGTTTCTTGGACTAGAACAGAAAAATGCTGCTAAGTCCTCATGCGTAACTCTTCATTATCAGAAGTCTACAATTGTGTGTTTCTGTTGCGTAGACTCTGCCAAGTCTGAGCGCAAACTTTTCTACATGCCGTACGCCTGGACCCGAAGCACCTGTTGAGCAACCAACTCTACACGCAGTAGCAATACCTTCATCAGCGGGGAATCCAGACATCGAGCTCATCAGAAAAGGATTCCCGATCTCCGCTGAATTCTGGACAAGAGGAGTCGTCAAAGAAACTTCTGCAAATCAGCATAAGGATCAAAAACACGCGGCCTTATCAGGGATGGGGAGTCCTGAAATCAGCTCTCCGACTTGTGCACGACAAAAAGCTCTGCAAGATCTACCTGCATAACTACAGACTTACAGAACTACATACCTATCCCAGAATCACGTCACTCCAAGGAGCGACGTTGCTTTCGCAAGGACAAGTCGGGTGGAGGGTTCGAGGGTTATTTACGGCCTAAATAATTTAGGTGCTTGAACTTTAATTTGAATGCTTGAACTTTACGCTGCATTTCAAGTTCGATGGCAACTTCTTGAAGTGGAAGGCTGGGCTCTTGCTAACTGCATGCATGCACATACATACATACATACATACATACATACTTACTTACTTACCTACCTACTTACTCACTTGCCCTGAAGCTGTCTGAAATCTCATGTGCAGCCGCATCTCACAAAATCCCTGAATTTTGTCAGGTCCATGGACAGAACAAAGACCGCCTGGAAAAAAAGCCATCAACATCCTCCCCGGCAAAGCCCCGCATGCCCTCTACCGCACCTCGCTGTAACGTGTGTCCCGACAGAACCCTGCATTACCATTCCAGCTTGAGCCCATTCACCGCTTACCCGGCAACCCCCCAAACCATGCTTGTCAGCACAACCTCCAGCTTCGGTGCACGTGCTACCTTAACAATACACCTGGTCCCACGCACTTAACCCTATTTTCGGCGCCGAAGCGGCGCGCCCTCGATGTAGATGGCCAGAAAGCCCCACAGAGCTAGGTCCAGAGAGACCATGGCTTCAGGGTTGAGTCACTGAGGCTTCGGGGTTTAGGTTGCGGGTGCGAGGCCTTGGGCTTTCAGCATGCAGGATTCCAGACATTGGGGGCGCGTGGCTTCGCGGATTTTGGGGCTTTGTTCAAGACTTTAGGGCAAGAATTCCGGGAGGACCCAGCATCAAGCTTCCGGACCTCAGGATGCCAGGTTTCCAACGTCATATTAAGTCGCCTAAACCCGAACACTGAAACCCATCCCAAACCCCAAGCGCCAATCCATGCTCTACGTCAAGATACCTGAATCAAAAATCATCTCAAAGGCATGCCACAAAACCCAAGCGCCTGCGCAGAAGTCTCGCTGCGATGCGTTCGTGGGATAGGGCGGCTGGCAAGCTCCAGCAGCCTTAATGAGGCAGCTGCCACTTGCGGCTCACTTCTTTCGGGGCCGCGCAGAAAAATAGAAGGACACACGGATGCATTGCTTAGAGCTCAAAGGTTCTCACAGAAGCTTGTCAACAATGAGACAGTAAGATTTGAGGGTAGGTTTGTGCATCGGAGCATTGAGTTCAGGGTTTGTGGCTTGAGGTTTGGAGTTTGGCAGGGTGTGTAGTGGGTTCTTCGGTGGCGCCCCATCAAAACTGCACTATTTGCGGAGATGCTGTGAGATTCCCTCATTGAATTAAAGCCGAACCACTAACGTGTATTTTCAATGAACATGATCTATTGCTGCGTTTGCGTATCCAGAAAAAAACAAGGAAAAATCAACTCAAGAATAATTCGGAACAATGGATGAAACCAATTTCAAATAAGTACGCACAGGAGCACGCTGTTCCTGCGCTTGTGCTAGAACCGCGTCTTTGCAAAAGCTACGGAAACAGAATGCATGAAAGAGAAGCAGGATTGCCCTGCCTTTTGAATGTTGGCCGTCCAGGCCAAGTTCTTCACATCCAAGGTCTGTTGTGCGAGTCCCTCATTTCGCACTCACCCAAAATTCCATAGCTACCAATCGCCCAAATTCAAGCCAAATTCTGAAGGACTCAACACCCAAGAGTTGGTGAGGTCAGGATCCGAATATACGCAACGCAGTTTTCTTGGAATCCCGCCCGCTTCCCAAGGTGCTGTCCACTCATCCTTGCTGGAAAGGTCCAATCTATGAATGAAAACGTCAACGCAGAGTACTTATCCTACACACACGCTCAAATGAAAAAGCCCTGGACCCTTCCATTCAAAACCTTGCTGTTCAGTCAAGTTGGTCAGGTGTCAAACATCAAGATCCTTCGTTCACACCGCACAAAGCCAAGATCGACAGCATGAAGTCGCGGCTTTCTTGTCAAGCGTGCCAACAGGCAACCCCAAAAAAGAAAGACTCAAGGCTTTTATGGCCAAGTCACATTGTTGATATTTGTGGCGATCCTGGGTAACAGCAGCAGGAGGAGCAGTCACAGTCATCGCCAAAAATTTACAGCACCAGTAGATCAAGTAGAAGCACATAGCAAGATTGGCAACAAACACATGGCCCTCTGGCATTGACTTTCCGCATGCATGCGCCACATGTCCTTATCCATACCCAATTGCTGATGCTGCAGACCCCGACCTGCACGGCTACAACCCCAATTGTTGGCCTGCAATTACAGCGTCAAAGCTGTAGCCACCCAGCTGGAGCCAACTTTTGAGTTTCCCTCAAGAACGTGAGCCGTAAATGAGGTCCCTTGTTTTTCACAGTGTCTGTCATCGCTACTAGTCATTGTGAGAAGCTCAGAACTCCTGCGGCTCTAAACCGTATATGATAGACCCCATGAAAGCCTTCTTCTTGATTATTCCTGACCCCCAAAATCTCTGCAGCCGGCGTTCTGCCCGGGGGTTACCACTGCCTGGATTGCATTGAGGCCGCAGAGGGCCTCATGCGCAATTTGTTCGATGTTTCATGGGAGTACGGGAAGCCATTTGAGTTTGACAATGCAGGCTTTATGTGATGAATCGGTGAGCATTTAGGGTTTCAAGCTTTGTTCTTCTAAAACATTCTCTCCGTGCCGGGGGACGACAACGATTGCTATTAAAGACGACAGCTTTATCTGCACTTCGCCGGTTGTGAAAGTTGCTGCTGATGCGGCGGGCAACTTTGCCTCTGGCTGCAACTGCTGCTAAAGTGACGGGTGTAGCGGGAACCGAGCCTGGGGCGTAACGGAAGGCGTGTAGCGGCAACCAACCCTGGCGTAACAGGAGCCGGAGGCAAGTGTAACGGGAAACGCTGGAGGCTGCAACGGGAACCACCAACGGCTGCAAGGGAACCGGCAGAACCGGGACCCTTACGAAATAGGAACCATACAGACACGAGTTGTCCCTGCGGCCTGAGCCGCAGCTGAATGCATCAAGCCACCCTCTCGCCAACGCACTGCTCCAAAGACTTTCCCTACCCCAGCCCTCACCCCCATTCGGGCCTCTTGAATTAAAGTGGCGTGCCGGCGGTCACCTTAACTTCATAGTTACAAACATACAGCAACCATGGGGTCTGAGGTTCAAGATGAAGAAATAGTCAAGATTGGAGTGTCGGATCCAACCCTCTTACTCGTCATCGCCCACAGCATTACCGACATCATCAAGAGCACAAAGCGGCTGTCATGATTACTATAATCATCATCATCATCATCATCATAATCATCATGCTCATCATCATCATCGAGCATCACTCGGCCGCGCAGCTCAGCCATCATCGCACCCGTCACCGCCGTTGTCACAACCATCACCGAAAACATAAATTACGCTCCATCATGAATAAATATCATCGTCCTCATCATCATCAGCAACGTACGTAGTAACCATGAAAATTCGGCGGCTGAGCCACGTCGAAGCATAGATATGTAAAACACGGATTATTGGACTGGGATTCGACGACTAAACTCATGATTAACCCTAGGCCCCACTCAGACGCCCACGGAAACTGTCACAACGAGCATCATCAGCACCTTTTGGGGTTCGATTTGCTACCCTGAAGACAGCCTCAAATATACCTGTGCTGCTTAAGCTTCCCCCAGCACTCATATGGATTTTTGAAGGAGTTTTAAAATCGGCTACTCCATCCCATAATAAGGGATTATACTTCACAGTCCATGTGCTCAGGCGCTACGCAACAGTGGCCCGGAGCTGATATCTTTCCGCTCATGCTCAACGTAAACAAGGCCTTGAACAAATCCACGCAACAGGCCGTCTTTGTCAATGCCGGGGTTTCGCGCTGGGAGATCTTGGCTGTCTTAGCGGCAAAAATCTCTTTACTTGCGTCATCAACTTGGCTCTGCTGTCTGCTGGGCAGCTGGCAGTTGCACTGTTTCGAGCAAATTATTAATCAGCCGCTTAAACTTGGGAGAACCACCTCGCGGAAGGGCGACTGTGGCGGAGAGCTGGTCTTGCGGGCCCTCAGGATTTTCACCACGAACGGAGACCAGGTCCACATCCCCTGCTTTGGGTGCACCCATACAGATGAATTCTTTGGCATCAGCTCGCGCACTTTGCTGGATGAGGACCACCAGACCCGCGACACAGCATGGCTTTCTTGCACGTTGGCATGCCAACCTACAGCATTGCCTCTGATGACCATTCCAAGCTCAACATGCGCGACCTAGTTCGTATTTGTCTCTTTCCTTTCTCGAGCGCTCCACTTGGCAATGTGGTTCTTGCCTATGTCCCTGGGGCTTCCAAGAAGATACCAGCCGTGACAGAGAGTGCCAGGACAGTGCCTAGGTCATCAAGGCGACTCTCATGAGACCATAGAGCTGCCTCTGCTTGCTTACTTTGCTCTTTATGCCAACCCCACGCATCGGCACATTGCACGTGGCAGGCGTAGAGCCATGTGACAAGGGCAGCTTGAAGCGCCTTAGCAGAGGATTCTCAAGTGGCATCTTCAGCCAAGATTTGGGAATCCTCGCATAAATGACCATAGTTGCCTTTTTTGGCACTGTCAATGGCCTTGGACCCAGGAGGGACTGGCAGGGGCATGCCTGTGACCTGTGAGACTGGCTTGCAACCTCCCCTCCAGGAACTACCGCTGATTTTCCGCCTATTCAGACTTTTGACATGCGATGTCATTCCTGCAGAACAGCAGAACCATCATGGGTTGAAAGCCTGCTCATTTCCTTGTGCGCCAAAATTGCACTTTTGAAGCTCCAACATCCTCAAACCAACCGTGAACTACAGCTCCTGTATGCAAAAATCCAAGGGCCAGAGTAGCTCACTGAAGCTTGCCAAAGATTCTTCCAGACATATTCACTTATTTCCTGAATTGATGCCACCTTCAGTAGCTCCCTCAGCTGGCCTCTAAACCCGGAAACCGCGAACGCCAACAAGGAGCCAGTCTGAGGTTCTTCCTCGACTCGGACTCTGCTCGTAGGTGCCTGCACACAGAAAGCCTAGCTGCGCCTAGCTGGTCTCACCCCAGAAGAATGCCCAAGACATATCCCAGATGGAAGGGGCATGCTCTGTAGACACAATCCGGCAGCACGTGCCCCAAACCCACCATCACACCGCATACTGCGAACTCAGAAGCCTCAACAGCTCAAACTCTGGACACATGAGCCTGACACCACGACATCAGGTCTTACCCTAAACCGGAAGCCTCAACCCTGAAGCAACTTTCTCGCCTGGATGACAAGGAATCCTGGCCCGTGATGCAAAGGAGAGACAAGCACGAGCATTTGCCAGAGAAGGGCTTTCGTGGGTTTTGGTGATGTTGAAGCTTGGGGCTTGACATGAGGGTGCGAATGGCTTTGCCGAGATTGGACTCATGCTCATCACTTCACTGACAAAGGTGCAATAAGCATAATAAGCAACAGACAACACACCGAGCAAGAAGCCGTCTTTGCTCAAATGATTTCTTTTCTTGTCGGGCGCCAGCGACTAATGACGGCCGCTTCGCAAGAGATGCCAAAGACTTGTTTTCCGTGTCGCTGACAAAAGCCTTGAAACTATGGCCTATGCATGGGGCCTTCCGAAGCTGCAGGTGTAGCATTGCAAGAACGGCTACTGTATGATCAGGCTGCGTGGTCGTCGCGAGTATCCACATGCTCGCGGGCTATCTACACATGCGGTCCTCGCTATGCTTGGCCAGGGATCCAAACGCACAAAGAGGGAAAGAGTAGAGCCTTTCAACACATGGCCGTATCCACCCTAACCTTTGTATTTGCAGTGTACCTTCATTTAAGGCTGATGTAGCTGCGTGTGGCTTGCAAATTTGTGAAAGACCTGGTTGCTCAAAAACAAAAACCTTCTGCCTTCCATCTCTCGGCTCGTGAGGATCTACCAGCACCTCAGAAGACCTGATATACTTATCTTCCAAAGGACCTTTGCCTTAAGCGAAATAAGAATCAAACAAGCCACACTTCTCCAAGATCTGCCTTGAACCTTTGCACACCCCATTTTTATCATGAGCCAGGGACCCATATCCCTTCAGCTTTACGTCTCAATCCTCATGCCCCATATTTGACAAAGCTCAGACCACAAGCCCAGTGCCTGATTTGCTGCAAAGATGCGCTTGGCAGGATGGAAGATGTGACGTTCAGCAGACTTTGGTAAGAAACCAACAGGTTGGGGCTCGGATATTCAACCTAGGCAGGCATGCTGGAGCAATACGATTGAAAAAGTTAAGCCAGGAAACCCAAACATGCACCTCGAAGCCGTTAGAGGCACAGGGTTCCAAAACTACAAGGGCGAGGTCCCTACCTTCATCTGGGACAAACCAAAGGAGGGATCCAGCAGGGCGAGGGAGACATGTGGGGTTGGGCCTGCGCGCGCCTTGAATCCCTTCATGTTCTATACAATCATACAGGCATGCTACAAACTGCAGACCCCGTCACCAAAAAAAGACCCACAACTTGGACCGATTGCCATATGAAGCCCCGTTTGTTCGGAAAGATTCCCACATGTTGAAACCTGGGTAGGCGTGTGAAGAGCCCATCACACTTTGTTGTTTGTTCTTCGAGGCACATGTAGGTCTCAGAAAATGCGTACTTAGTGCCCCTAGACGTTTAAGCTTGCCTTTCAAAGAGAAAAATGTATCAAAAGAAATCTGAAGTTTCGCCACTGGCCCACAAAAACAAGGTGACTTCGGGGCCCACCAACATGCCGAAGCCAAGTTGCATGCTCCCAGAAAGCCCCATCCGGAAACAAATCCTCGGTTGATCATTGACAAGCACATCTCTGTTTCTGTGGAGCCACAGTACAACCGCGACTATTGTCTGACTTCTGCGAGGGACTGTGACAAAGGTGCTGCAGGTTCATTAATAGTTTGAGGTTGTGCTTTCAACCTTTGTGTCTTCGGCATGACTCAGCAACAGAAGCAGGTTGCCAAAGGAGATGCCGTCTCAGTGTGGTCCCAAAGTGTTCCATTGCAACGGTGCTCAATGCCCTCTGCCTACCTCAATACCTCCTTGAGAGTGTGAGCGCAAAGGTCTTACTTCGGGATGTCCAAAGACATAGTGGTCCGGATTCCAGTGCCGTTATCTGGCAGCTGGGGCAGGATCACCATGTCTCGTGAATGTGGATCTAGGATATCAAACTGACATCTTGCTATGCAGAAGTCTTGGAAACACAGACTGTCGCACTAGATAGGCGGACTTCTTCCGGGAGCCCTATGTCTTGTTACCAACAGAACTTTGCTGCTTCATTCCCTGAGAAGAAAGTTCTTGAAACACCTGAGTTCTTGCTGCCTGACATGTGTACTTTATCCATAGAGAGAGACCCGCCCAGCCCCCCCATGGAACCCTCACCATCTCTGTGGGCCGTTGCATTCCGATACAGTACTGCGCAACCCCCATAAATCTTCTGGTTTAGGAATCTGTGCCACAAATCCATGTAGAATATAAATGTTATCTACAGAACCTCAAAACTCTGCAAAAGCTCGTCAAATTCTCTGTCGAGTCCCACATGGCCTTGCAGTATACATTGTACATACTCTCAACACTGCTGTACAATCTCTATAGAACCCTGCGCAGTCCTTAACAATCATGCCTAGTCCTAAGCTCTGAGCCCTGTAAGACGCTTTCCTTCCCCACACGCCTGCAACAACCCCAAGAAGGAACGTGACATATATACAATAATTGTCCAGATGTCCTTAATAAGGACCCCCGCTACTATTTGCAATCACTTATATCACTGCACGAAGCCTAGTCGCTGATGCTTGGCCAAATAACCGCAAAAGCAGCTCTGGTCGGGCAGCTTCAAGGCTGGGCCTCTTCAAGGATGTTGCCGTGGGCTACAAAGTTGAAAAGTTTTAGTTTTGGGGGATTGCACGATGTCTTGACAAGCCCTACGGGGACTGTGAGGGGGAACGTTGGAAGGAGGAGCCTTCTTTGTAGGGGCTCCAGAGTTTCCAGCGGTATGGGTGTGATGAAGGTGTAGTTTTGGAGGGAAATTGTCAAATATACCGGAAGCGGGCCACCACTAGAGCCCCGATAATGCAGGCGCTGCTCTAAAACCCCAAAAAAGACTCACAGCTGGAAGAATCCCGAATGATTTGTGACTGGGGGCTTGCGGCTCAGGGTATGAGCTACTGCCCCTTGTTCTTACAAAGCTTATCATGTTTAGCCCACCGTTGACACTCCCTGGAAGTCGGGTGAGGGTTCCCACTGAGAGCCTCATCCTACGGCCTGGAACACTTGGGATCTGGCTCTGCTCTTCCTGCGGTGAGGGAGCAGACGCTAGCTGCCATACATACTCGTCACTAGCTGCCAGCTTCCCTCACAGAGTACCCTCACCCAAAAAACATCACGGAACCCTGTTTGGCACGTGAGCACTCATGTAAGGGATCCCTCAAGTGCCACTCCTCTTGAGGATTTGTTCAGAGTTGTTTACCGGGGTTCACCGCGACGCCTACACAGCATATCATGTCATTTGGCACGCTGTTCCACCAACGGTAGTCACGACTCAGCTCAGAAGGGCCTCTCGCTGGCTGCGGCAAGGTCCGAGCGCGCAGGGTGCAAAGGAGCCTCAGCTGCCAAGTATCAGGGCCTGCGGCCCCGACGACACCAAAAGGTTCTCTCCAGAGTGGGGAATCAATACAGAACCCTGCAAACGAGGTTGATGCAAAAATCCACTGCCCGACACCACAAGCTTGTTCCGTTGCCCGAGGAGTTGACGGAGTTGCGAAGATGCACACCAGGATCGGTCCATAATACCTTCAGCTTTGGGACAGGCCTCGAGACATGCTCACAATTACTGCCGACAGTCTGGTTTTGTCACTGCAATGATAGTCGATATGAGGGGAGACATCTGCAGGAAGTGCCAACGCTGTTTTCCACAGCTGATACTAGTTTTTGTGTCTTGTTGCATGCATGGACCTGCGCTCAAACTGCAGTGCAATCTGGTGTTGCCGGCAGGCTTTGGGGCGGCTACCCTATAGACCTCAAACTCAGACTTGCCTTTTGATTGTTTCTTACAGTATTTTCATCGTAGTATTGTGACTGCTGTTGTTACTTGTGCTGTTTTGATTGCCCTTATCTTTGTCGCTGCCATTTTACTTCCTGGAAAAGTGAAGAGCAACAATTTTCAGAATGATGTTGGGCATATGAGGTGACCAAAACAAACTGGACCCTCCGTTACCCCGTTTTGGCATAACCAAGAGCCCCCCAAAAAAATACGGGGCCAGCAAATGTGAAACACCTTCTGCAACCCACAACAAATCCACAACAAACCCATAAATTGGTTCACTAGACTTTTTCGAGACATAGCGAAACATCTTGCACGCAGCCATGCGACTTAGCTACTCAAGCATGACCCTTAATGGCCTTCTAGTTCAAGCTTTAAACCTCGAACACCATGCTATCCCAAGATAACGTTTCCGCGTGTCCGCGCGTAGCCCACATAGCCCCCAAGAACTGACACAGTCAAGCTGCCCAGCGAACCCTTCCGTGCTTGACAACGAGCGTTGAGGCAACGCAGAGACAGACAATTGCAAACAGCACAACTGCCTCGAAGGAGCGATGGTCTTTTCAAAATGATAAGGTACTGTTGCAACTTAGATGGAGTGGCGGCATGTTCTAAGGTTTAAGTCACGATGATCTCGTCCCGCTGGCTCAGGGCTGCAGGATTTGGGAATTACGGCATAGCGCTGAAGGGGCCTCTACTACGCTTCAGACCTGAAAACTGAACGGGACAGCATCCGGTCAAAGCATGCTACCCAGGCAGTCCCCAAGCCTCCCCTAAATCGTCCCTACATACACCCGCTGCACCTGAAAATGACTGATCGGCCGAAGAAGCAACCACAGATCGGCTTTTGCAAATTCTGCTGCTAAAGCAAGCGCCGAAGAGTATCCCATCCGAAAGATCGTCTTCTGGCAAACTACACTCTCTGGCGCAAGAAATTGAATCTTTTGTCCATCTAGGAACTCAGCATCTTCAAGCCCTTTACTTCTATTTCGAGCTCGCCCCCCTCATGATGAGCCGTCGCTGCCCAAGTGTAAGAGAGTCAGCTTAAACCTCAAACAAGGCCAGGCGCCTTGTATCCAAAGAAGCCCAGCACTGCTGCTGGGCCATGTTCACTTCTCAAACAGCCTGCAAAAACCAGGGTAAAACAGAGTGTGCACAGTTTCACCTTAGGCATTGAGAATAGTGGAAGGTTCAGGCGGGATGTTGCAGGGCTGGGACAGGATCAGACGGGGCTGAGTGCAGTTCTGATACGGATTACCCAAACCTCTCTGTGAACTCAAATAATCTTTTACGTCCTGGAGCATTCCCCTGAAATCGCTCAGCGCAGGATTGGGAAGGGGAATAATTCTGTGAGGTCAGCACGGGCTACATGAGGCTTAACAGTGGCATTGCTTCATGAAGATGTCATGGCAGTTGCCATAACTCTGTGAGCGCGTCACCGGGACCCTGAAAACGATGACCCCTTGTCCGAGTGGTGATTTTCAAAAACATGAGGCCCTTCTAGAAACTCCCAGAAGCAAGGGTTGCGGTACATTTCGGGAGGGTAGCCTTTTGTTGCGGTTATGCCAGACTCAACCCCCGCAGAGCCTTTCATACAAGAGTTTTAGGCTCCACTGCGAGGCCTACTCTCGTTAAGGATGATGTCACCATGTATGCCTAGCCTGGTCTTGCAGAGGCTTGGGCACGCTGGGCTGTACGTTACGCACCTGTGTAAGAGGCAGAACGATAGGAACCTGAGCTATTTGAAAACAAAGCTAGCTTCGAGCAAGTGACCTACGCTTAGCAAAACCAACCAGATTGGAATGTCTTAAGGTCATTACTCAGGTTGGGCAGCAAAGGGGCAATGGCTTGCCAGAAGCGACTTGATGCAATCAATACGGCTTTGATTATCGCTGCATTATCATTTTGCTGCCCCAACTTCAATCACAAATAGGAACAAATTCTCAGCTCATGTTCTTGTTCAGACATGATCGTTCTCGTTTCTTCCATATCATTTCACAGAGTCACGGTTTTGATGTGCGACATGCACTCGGCGCAACAAGTCTTATTATGCTTTCAATCACTCCGCAAACAACCACAGATACACACGCAAAGTGTCCGATCGTGGGAAATTATTTGTACCGTCCTCGCCCTCGTTTTGTTGTTTTTTCCCTTGAGTAATCCCGATATTTGTTTCTGAATCGATTTTAGCAATTCTAAAGGCACGAGAAACAACGTTGCGGAGGTGGGATCCTCTTTGTGACCTGCGCAACTCGCTTGTGCCTTAAGCCGTTTGCTCAAGGTTGTTCGCCGTCCACGTGCATACAGAATGTCCTTTGCGGACCTTGCCAATCTCGCCAGCTGTCCGGCCATTCAAGGGCATTGATGGCACATGGAAACCATTGCAGCCCTGGCGTCTCATGTGCTGCCTTTTACTACTCAGGGCTGCGGGCTACATACAAACCAGCACTGCAGCTGGCCCCCATGCTAATCTCTTCCGACCCTGTTTTCACGTTGCTCGAGTCTTGCAACCTGTGTGGTTGGTGCTTTGCTTTTTTTTGCCAGCATCTTGTGCTGGCTTGGCACAATGCATTGCGGTTCCGGGGTTCCATGCGCAATCTGCGCTACTCGTCCGTTTAGCTCTCAGCTATTGAAGGTTGCTTGTGGGACGGTTGCGAGGTCCTATGTCTACCCGAGCTTGCCATATCGTCGCTTCACGCCGACCTTTCGCGTTCAGGGTCATTCCCGGGCCGCACACAAACATTGTAGAGGCGGGGTGCCACATACCTCCTGCAGCAATTGTATTTTTGAGTTTACTTCAAACGTTCCAGGTCGTCTAAGTGTCGCATTTGTGCCCCTTGCGTGTTCTCCATGATGCTGAAGCATTGGGCGCGTGGCCGTCACATCCTGCAACATCCACACAGATGCTTGAAACGAGCATGCTAAAAATTTACCTTCACAGGAATCAATCCTGCACCTGTTTTGCTCCGAAACCAGAAAATACTAACGAATTAGTACCAACAACCTTGACTGAACAGGCTCTGCGATCTGAAGTGTGACTGAACTCCGATTTGACAGTCGTCTTTAGTATCATTCTTGCTTCGGTCTCGATGACTGCAGCTGTCATTCTCACTGTCAAGTGCCAATTGCTACAAATCTAGCTATCCATAAGGCTTTGGCGTGATTGATACTATAGCAATTTCGATGTCCATTGGCGTAACTTTCACCAATGTAAGGCATGCAGCCCTACATGATTCCAAACAATCCCTTCCGCAATAAACAACTCGTGCTATGCCCTTTGTAATCCCAAACACTATACGGCGCAGTCTCTGTGCAGGCCTGCAAAGAATTGTACAGATGATGACAGCCCTTTACACTTCCACATCATGGGCACCCGAAAAAATCCAAAGATGATTCCCTCTTCATCACTTGCCTGCCGCCCAGGAATCTCTACATGCAAGTTCGGCCCTCATATTGAACTAATTATTGAACCCAGTTTGAAACAGTCACAAGCCTGCTGCACCTTGGCGAAAACAGGGCCGCTTTGGGCCTCCAGCCTTTCCAGACTTCAAAACAATCATGCGAGCGAATGCTCACGCAGTGAAACTTTGATGAGAGAATGCATGGAGGCGCATACTTCGTCTTTCATACCCCCTTGGATCCCAAAATGTTGACGGAAGTTCATGTGCAAGTTGGACCGAAATGTATTTCCCAAAATTCTGGAAGCCCCTGTAGGAACACAAACATGAGGGCTGCACGGTTCCAAATTCAAGAAGCCCCCGTTGTGGTAGTTTCTGAGACAACCTGCCCCACAGTCCCTCCCCGA